ATAAGAATAGATGAGAGCCCTATAATAAAAGGCTGGTGTAGAAGCTTCTGATTTGAGCTACCCAAAGCAATCTTTATGAAATTTCATCTGTGGCATCTTTTCCCTAAAGCTTTTTCATTGGTGTTATAGTTAACCCCAAGTTTCTCTTCAAAGAATCAGTATGTCAATATGTTCAGCTCTCTTATTATTTAATTCTCGATTTTAAAGTTTAACTTCTTTGTAATTCTAGTAAACGACTTTCTCCACCGGTTCTAATCGGTAGTTCACAACTGTTCCCTGGGCCCCGGATCCATCCTGACTCATCCTGGTCACCTGCTCTGGTCACCATTTTTTTTTTTTTTACTTATACTTTTAGTTCTGGGGTACATGTGCAGATTATGCAGGATTGTTACACATGCCATGGTGGTTTGCTGCATCCATTTCCCTGGCCCCCATCATCTACATTAGGTATTTCTCCTAATGTTACCCCTCCCCAATCCCCCACCCCCTGCTATACATCCCCTACCCCCCACCCCCCAACAGGCCCCAGTGTGTGATGTTCCCCTCCCTATGTCCATGTATTATAATTGTTCAACACCCACTTATAAGTGAGATCACGCAGTGTTTGGTTTTCTGTTCTTAGGTCAGTTTGCTGAGAATGATGGTTTCCAGCTTCATCCATGTCCCTGCAAAGGACAGGAACTCATCCCTTTTTTGTGGCTGCATAGTATTCCATGGTGTATATGTGCCACATTTTCTTTATCCAGTCTATCATTGACGGGCATTTGGGTTGGTTCCGTCTTTGCTATTGTGAACAGTGTCGCAATAAGCATACACCTTCATGTGTCTTTTTTTTTTCCTGGAAAGCTCTATATGTGCTATAATCACTCTATATAGAATGATTTATAATCCTTTGGGTATATACCCAGTAATGGGATTGCTGGATCAAATATATTTCTAGTTCTAGATCCTTAAGTAATCGCCACACTGTCTTCCACAATGGTTGAACTATCTACATTCCCACCAACAGTGTAAAAGTGTTCCTACTTCTGCACATCCTCTCCAGCATCTGTTGTCTCCAGATTTTTTAATGATCGCCATTCTAACTGGAGTGAGATGGTATCTCAGTGTGGTTTTGATTTGTATTTATCTTTTTTCTTTGTTTTTTAATGAATTATTATTATTTAAGACACAATAATGTTAATATTATTATTTAAGACAGTTTCACCATATTGGTCAGGCTGGTCTCAAACTCCTAATGATTTGTATTTCTCTAATGACCAATGATGATGAGCTTTTTTTCATGTTTGTTGGCTGCATAAATGTCATCTTTTGAAAAGTGTCTGTTCATATCTTTCACCCACTTTTTGATGGGGTTTTTTCTCATACATTTGTTCTTTGTAGATTCTGGGTATTATCCCTTTGTCAGATGGGTAGATTGCAAACATTTTTTTCTATTCTGTTGGTTGCTGGTTCACTCTAATGATAGTTTCTTTTGCTGTGCAGAAGCTCTTAAGTTTAATTAGATCCCATTTGTCTATTTTGGCTTTTGTTGCCATTGCTTTTGGTGTTTTGTCATGAAGTCCTTGCCCATGCCTATGTCCTGAATGGTATTGCCTAGGTTTTCTTCTAGGGTTTTTATGGTGTTAGGTCTTATGTTTAAATCTTTATTCCAACTGGAGTTAATTTTTGTATAACATGTAGGGAAGGGGTCCAGTTTCAGTTTTCTGCATATGGTTAGCCAGTTTTGCCAACACCATTTATTAAATAGGGAATCCTTTTCCCATTGCTTGTTTTTGTCAGGTTTGTCAAAGATCAGATGGTTGTAGATGTATGGTGTTATTTGCAAGGTCTCTCTTCTGTTCCATTGGTCTATATCTCTGTTTTGGTACCAGTACCATGCTGTTTTGATTACTGTAGCCTTGTAGTATAGTCTGAAGTGAGGTAGTGTGATGCCTTCAGCTTTGTTTTTTAGTTTTTTGTTTGTTTGTTTAGGATTGTCTTGGCTATGCGGGCTCTTTTTGGTTCTATAGGAAGTTTAAGGTGGTTTTTTTCTAGTTCTGTGAAGAAGGTCAGTGGTAGCTTGATGGAGATAGCACTGAATCTATAAATTACTTTGGGCAGTATAGCCATTTTCATGATATTGATTCTTCCTATCCATTACCATGGAATGTTTTTCCATCTGTTTGTGTCCTTTCTTATTTCCTTGAGCAGTGGTTTGTAGTTCTCCTTGAAGAGGTCCTTTATATCCTCTGTTAGTTGTATTCCTAGGTATTTAATTCTCTTTGTAGCAATTGTGCATGGGATTTCACTCGATTTGGCTCTGTGTTATTGGTATATAGGAATGCTTGTGATTTTTGCATATTGATTTTGTATCCTGAGACTTTGAAGTTGCTTATCAGCTTAAGGAGGTTTTGGGCTGAAACTATGAGGTCTTCTAAATATATAATCATGTCATCCGCAGATAGAGAAAATTAGACTTCCTCTTTTCCTAATTGAATACCCTTTATTTCATTTTCTTGCCTGATTGCTCTGGCCAGAACTTCCAATACTATGTTGGATAGGAGTGGTGAGAGAGGGCACTCTTGTCTTGTGCCAGTTTTCAATGGGAATGCTTCTAGTTTTTGCCCATTCAGTATGATATTGGCTGTGGGGTTGTCATAAATAGCTTTTATTATTTTGAGATACGGTCCATTGATACCTAGTTTATTGAGAGTTTTTAGCATAAAGTGCTGTTGAATTTTGTTGAAATTCAATAAACTGAGATAATCGTGGTTTTTGTCTTTGGTTCTGTTTATGTGATGGATTACGTTTATAGATTTGCATATGTTAAACCAGCCTTGCATCCCAAGGATGAAGCCAACTTGATCGTGGTGGATTACCTTTTTGATGTGCTGTTGGATTCGGTTTGCCAATATTTTATTGAAGATTTTTGCATCAATGTTTATTATGGATATTGGCCTGAAATTTTCTTTTTTAGTTGTGTCTCTGCCAGATTTTGCTATCAGAATAATGTTGGCCTCATAAAATGAGTTAGGGAGAATTCCCTCTTTTTGTATTGTTTGGAATAGTTTCAGAAGGAATGGTACCAGCTCCTCCTGTACCTCTGGTAGAATTCAGCTGTGAATCTGTCTGGTCCTGGACTTTTTTTGGTTGGTAGGCTATTAATTGCTGTTCAACTTCAGACCTTGTTATTGGTCTATTCAGGGATTCAACTTCCTCCTGGTTTAGTCTTGGGAGGGTGTAAGTGTCCAGGAATTTATCCATTTCTTCTAGATTTACTTGTTTATGTGTGTAGAGATGTTTGTAGTAATCTCTGATGGTAGTTTGTATTTCTGTGGAATTGGTGGTGATATCCCCTCTATCATATTTTATTGCATCCATTTGATTCTTCTTTCTTTTTTATTAGTCTCGCTAGTGGTCTGTTTTGTTGATCTTTTCAAAAAACCACCTCCTGGATTTCTTGATAAGGGTTTTTTGTGTCCTTATCTCCTTCAGTTCCGCTCTCATGTTAGTTATTTCTTGTCTTCTGCTAGCTTCTGAATTTATCTTCCTCCTCTAGTTCTTTTAATTTTGTGACATTAGGGTGTCAATTTTAAATCTTGCCTTGCTTCTCATGTGGGCATTTATTGCTATAAATTTTCCTCTAGACACTGCTTTAAATGTGTCCCAGAGACTCTGGTACATTGTGTCTTTGTTCTCATTGGTGTCAAAGAACATCTTTATTTCTGCCTTCATTTCATTATTTATCCAGTAGTCATTCAGGAGAAGGTTGTTCAGTTTCCATGTAGTTGTGCAGTTTTGAGTGAGTTTCTTAATCCTGAGTTCTAATTTGATAGCACTGTGGTCTGAGAGACTGTTATGATTTCTGTTCTTTTGCATTTGCTGAGGAGTGATCTACTTCCAATTATGTAGTCAGTTTTAGAGTAAGTGTGATGTGGTACTGAGAAGAATGTATATTCTGTGGATTTGGAGTGGAGAGTTCTGTAGATGTCTATTAGGTCTGCTTGGTCCAGATCTGAGTTCAAGTCCTGGATATCCTCATTAAGTTTCTGTCTCACTGATCTGACTACTATTGACAGTGGAGTGTTTAAGTCTACCACTATTATTGTGTGGGAGTCTAAGTCTCTTTTTAGGTTATTAAGAACTTGCTTTATGTATCTGGGTGCTCCTTCCAGTCACCTTCTTTAACCTAGGTCACCCCTGGCTACCTGCTCTGACCCACCCGCTGTCCTTCCCACCAAAACACCCACCCTGCCACTCCAGCTCAGACCCCTTCTCTCTTTAACATAGCCAATCAGGATTAGTCTAGCTTGTGTAGTCTAACCCTAGCCAATAGGGGAATGACACAGTAGTAGGAGACCCCGTCAGGCATAAGTACCCCTTCCCCGCTTGTCCAAGTGTTCAGCCACCATTATGCCATCCATCAGCTGCACCCTTCTATAGAAGTAAACTGCCTTGCTGACAGGATTTATCTTCAAGTGCTATTTCTTTTGTGGCATTGAAATTTTACTTATAACATTGGTTTCTCACTGCCCTCCAGAAGCTGCCCAAGGTCCCTGTGAAGTAACTTCAAAAATCACAGAAAGTTACAAGTCAGCTTGTAATTGCAGCATTTTGGGAGGCTAAGGCAAGAGGATCACGTGAAGCCATGTGTTTGAGATCAGCCTGGGCTACACAGTGAGACCCCATCTCTACAAAAAATAGAAAACAGATATATGTTTTTTAAAAGTCATAAGTTACAGGATAGATAGGGTGAAGTTTACCCAGACATAGGGTTTCCCGATTTAGCAAATAAAAATGTGTCCCAGATACTGCATGAGAGAAAATTATACTTAAAAAACTGTTGAACTGAAATTCAAATTTAGCTGGTCATCCTGCATTTTATCTGGTAACCCTGCCCACAGAGCTTTTGGGTATGTGCATTCAAGTTTCATTTTCCCTGGGCAAAGGAAAGATAATCTCTTCATCCCATCATGCCACAGCACAGAGAACACAATGAGAGTCAAAGCCAGAAGAGGTTAAAATCTCCTACATGCTTTATTGGACTCCAAAGATTCTTATGAAATAATACAGAAAACCCCATTTGAGGGTGTCCAGGGAGTACGAGGCAGTCTGCAGCCTAGCACCCTCCTAAGACCAGCCCCAGGTGCACCCACCCCAGGCCCAAAATAGGATCCCAGGATAAAGGCATGACAGGGAGTGGGGCAGAGGGAAAATACATTTACAGCCATAGCAAAAACAGGTAAGGGAGAGAGTGTCTAGAGGGTGGGAAGGGTGGGGGAAGTGGTCACACAGCCACCTTCACCTATACCATCTTCCTTAGCCACTCCTTCCCCAAACTGGTTGTGTCTTTTTGAGCCTCTGGCCAAGGCTACAAAGTAACATGAAAATGGGATCTGACGAGGGAAGTATGCAGTGTAGGCACTTGGGAAATTCAGATTTCTTTTTTACTTTAAACCTGTTTGTCTTTTGGTTCAAAAATATGACAGCATCTTTGTCCAACAACTCCAGGGCTCCATAAGAGCCCTGTATCATGGCTGTGGCTCCCCTAGCCAGGGGAGCCACTTGTCCTGAGCCCCAGGAGTATTGATGCTTGGGGAGCTTTGGGGCAGCACCTCTTAGAGACAAACCCTCCTGCAGTGTGGGGGAGCAGGGGTAAGAGGGAGGCAGGTGTGGGTGGGAGAAGAGAGAAAAAGTGACTGCCTTATAACCCACAGTTCTGGCATCCACACATGCTCCAATGAAGAGAGGCCTCTTCTAACCCATCCCCAAGCCTAGCCTCTTTAAATGTCTCTGGTAGGTTGTTCTCTGAGAATTGGTTTCACTCTCCCATGGACCCCTGGAGGCCTGAGTGAAATCTAGGATGAGGCTCCTTCTGACCCCCAACAATATCAAAGAACAAACCCCAAAGGTTAGGCCCTAGCCCCAGTCTGGAGCAAAAAGAACCACTGTGAGTGGGGTGGAACAGATCTGAGGCACACAAGTCAGAAGTTACTCCTCCTATCTTCCCTGCAACTGCTAGGGAAAGTTGGGAAGTGGTGGGAGGGAGGGCTCTGAAAGCAAGAGACAGAAACAAGAAACCAAACCTTAAAACTGGGACAGCAGAGACAGAAGCTGGACCCCAGAGGTGGAGCTGGGAGCTGAGGGGACAGCAAATAAGACATGCACTGAAGCGGAGAGGGAGTGACAGCAGCAGCCCATGGTTGGGAGGGAGGCAGGGCAGGCAGGCCATGGTGGTCAGTTAATAAATAATAATAAAGGACCCAAAGATGAGGGGGCAGGTATGTACAGTGCCCAGACCCCTGGACCAGCCCTTCCTATGGCCCACTCTTGGGGCCAGTTATCTTGAAGGAAGGGAGGGAAGGAGAGGCAGAAGACCCAGGGAAGGACAAGCTGTCCCATTACTGCCACCCCCATCCTGCCTACTTCTTAAGAGGCTTCTTAAAGATTTTGAGGGGAAACTTCTTCCGGCCTGGGCTGGAGTCTGTCTCCTCACCAATAGAGCCATTATCCTCCTCAGCCACAACCTTCTTGCCAGCCAGGTGGGGAATGCGTGTGTTTCGGCTGGCTTGCAGGGCTCGGCTGTCCCCAATTGGAGATGGCGTGTCTGGGTCTGGGGAACTGGGGCTGTGAGAACGGGAAGAATCCAAATGTGGAGAGCTACCAGGAGGGGCTGAGGGGCTCAGCTCCATCAGGCTGTGGGCCTTGTCCAGCCCATGGTTCAGCGCCAGTAATGCCTTCTTGGCCAGGGCAGGGCTGTCAGGCAGTTTCTCCACTAGAGACCCTGGGTGGACCCCCTCGATCAGCCGGTGGCTGCCATTGGAAGTCATGGCATTGAGAGCCTCATCTGCAGCACGGCTCATCTGAGGAGGTTTGGGGGCCACACGCTGGCGGTCACTCATGTGGAGGGAGGACTCCGAATCGGAATGGGTCAAATCCCTGCAAGACATTGGGCAGAGAGGAAGAAAGGGACATATTGGATAGGGAGATGGGGGAAGGGTGAAGAGGAGAGACAGACAACATGAAAAGACAAGGACAGGGTAGGAAAATTGGGATAAACAGAGTGGCAGGAGAGAAAAACAGGATAAACAGGCAGATGGGAAGGAGAGAGGAAAGAGGAACAGATGTAAGTGGAGCAGTCATAAGTACAGGATAAGAGGAGGCAGTAGGAGGGAATGAGGATAGATTGGAAAAGAGACAGGGAAAGGACAGTAGAGTTGTGGAGGAAGAAAAGCAAAAGGATAAGCAGGTATAAAGAAGGGCCAAGAGAAAAAGACCAGAAAGGGAAAAGTGATGGGGAGGGAGGGAAGAAATAGACAAGAAACAAAAACAAATGTCATCATACCATCATCTGTCTGGCAAATGGCTTTCCAATATCTGGGCCTCACCACTGGTGAATGTTCTGGCTCTGAACTGGTGTAACCATAGGCTTAAATTCTACAGGCATCCTCCTCAATAAAATCTCTGCCTTCTCATAGCTGGCTAGATTTCCTGGGATTCAACCTTAAGCTAACGCAGAACCTACATACTGCTCCAAGTCACCGTTTTCCTTGCCTTCCTCCCCCACCTACTTCTGCCACACCTTAGGATATCATCCAGTCTGGGTCAGACCCTAAGGAACAAGGCACATGCAGTCAGTGGACCTGACCCAGGCTGGGGATGAGAAGGTTAGAACAACCTTGCAAACAATCCCTCACCCACCCCAAAAGGCCAGGATGCTGCCTCTTCTAACAATCTCAAAGGATTCAAAGGAGGTCATAAATAGTTATTGTAGAGATCAAGCCAAAGTCTGTGGTGCAACAGGAAGGGTGGGGTCTCTTTTACAGCTCTGCTGACAGGGAGAATATAGGGAGGCATAGAAAGGCAGGATGTTGGCCTTTAAATAGCAATGATTTAGAAGAGCTCTGGATTCTTCTGTGCAATATTGGACAAACCATCTAAACCTGCTAGTCCTCAACTTTGACCCAATGAAGATAATACCAACTCAATTATCTTACAAGACTCTTTGGAGGATCAAATATGCTGGCAGAGCACTTGAAAGTGTAGAAATTATTGTGGGAATGAAGATGATGAGGTCACCCAAGCTGAAAGGCCTATGTAGGGGTCAGTTACAAGAAGCTTCTTTGCAAGGCTGAGTTATGGAGATACACCACCACACGCTGGACATGCACACACAGAGGCTAGTCTAGGAACTTGAGACCCTTTAAGGAGCTGGTGGTTCCTAAGACCATGAATCAATTCCAGATGCCATTCCCCCTGCCTCTATAGACAAAAAAGTAGATATGGAGGTGCTCTCTCTGCCAATCCTGCATCCTCCATCTGCCTTCCTAGAGGCCTGAGAACCTCAGCAAAAGCAGAGAAGAGAGTTAAGGGTAATATTTAAACATCTGCTAGCCAAAGAGTAAGAGTCGTGAGTGGGAGAGGAGAGCACCACAGGACCTGGAAAGAAAGAGGCTGAGGGTCAGAAGTCAGGGAGGGTACCAGGCCCTGAAACAGGCAAAAGCAAAGGGTTGGCTCATAGGTATTATAGACTTAATTCTCAGTAGGAAGCAAATAACTAAGTAGCCACCCCATAGGCCAGTACTTTCCTGGACTCAGAGAACAATTCCAGCTAAGCTTCCATTCTACAAACACTATTTCAGCCACATATGCTAGTATTTATGAATATTCAGTCTCATATTTGATTTCATATATCTAACACAGTCCTTGCTTCTAAAGTTGTCCTTGTTTCTCTAAGCCCCAAGATGATCCTCTTTGTATCTTGCCTTCTCCAAACACATGTAAACCAATGAGCAAGGTGCCAAGGAAGTTCTGGGGACACCCACACTTCCTCTAAGCCAAAGAAGTGAATATCCTGGGATCCTATCCTCTCTAATACCAAGGAAGAGAAATCAGGTTAGAGCCCTCCAGCCTCACTTCTCCTAGCCCACACCCCTCTTTGGTCTCAATTCCTATCCATCTGTTTGTTTGTTTGTTTGTTGACAGGGTCTCGCTCTGTCGCCCAGGCTGAAGTGCAATGGCACAATCTCAGCTCAATGCAGCCTCAACCTCCCAGGCTCAAGTGATCCTCCTGCCTCAGCCTCCCACATAGCTGGGACCACAGGCATATGCCACCATGCCCAACTAACTTTTTTATTTTTTTATTTTTTTTTTGGGAGAGACAAGGGCTCACTTTGTTTCCCAGGCTGGTCTCAAACTCCTGGACTTAAGCAATCCTCCCTTCCTGGCCTACCAAAGTGCTAGGATTATAGGCATGAATCACAGAGCCCAGCCTGATTCCCGTCCTTCTATGCCTCCCTCATCAACTAAAAGTTGAGACTACCAAAGCAAGATTAGAACCTGGGAGGAAGCCTAGGGAGATATAGGAGGGAAAAGGCCCAGTGAGGCAGGCTCACCTTCCCTCTCTGAATCATTGAGAACAATTAGGCCAGGGGTCCCTCCCCAAAGGCTGGGCTGCCTTGGACTCCCATCCCAAGCTACTGACCTTACTAGAGAGCCTGTTTGCCTTTAGAGATGATCCTCTGGTGCATGGTGCAAAAGAAAATTAAGTAGTGAACAGGCCAGGTGGATGTAGGTACCTCCACACCCTTCCTCCCCACTGCCCTCAGCTTAAGCCTTGGAACATGACATTCACAGCATCCCCTGGTTTCCCCAACCCAATTTGGTCCTCTCCATCTGTATTGGAAGGGGCAGTCTCCCTTCTTAGGCTTTTGGATGAAAATGAGAATGAGAGTGGATATGAGTGGCTCTGCTGAGTAATAATCCTAGTAAGGGCAATTCCTTTGTGCAAAAGGAACAGCCCTCAAGGATAACTATCCAGAGGTTTAAGAGGCAAAGCTGGAGAAATGGGTATCCAGAGTGAGGTAGAACTAAAAAAAAGCAACAGAGTAAGCAGACTGCAGCCCAGAGGCCAAGACTGGGCTGTGGTTACCACTTCAGAGATGAGAAGTACTTCCAGAGGGGAAGCACTTTCTGAGGGTCTCCTAAGCTTGTTCCAGGCAAGGTCAAGGCTACTACCTCTGATCCTAGTCTACCATCTTGGGTATTAGCAAGAAAAGTCCCTGCAGCTGCCATACAAAGCTGTGGAAGAAAACCTTTCACCAATTATTTTCCAGTACACTTTTTGAGACCTTGTGAAATGACAAAAATATCCAATGAAGTATCCCAGAATTGAAACCCAAGTTCTAGTCTGTGCTCTGCTCCCAATCAGCTGTGAGATCTGGAGGGAAATACTTACCCTTTTGGAACCTTAACTCACTATTCTTAAAATGTGTATTTTAATTCCTGCCCCACCTATAAACTCTTCTTGTCCAAAACCCCAATCCTATGTCCCCTATCTTGGTTCCCTAATTCCATGAAAGATACTATGTCCATCCAGTCATTCAAGCTATAAACCTTAGTGTCATACTAGATCCTCCCTTTCCTTCACCACTATAGCCAGTTACCAAATTAATCATGTATTTTTATCGCAAAGCCTCATTACCACCCCTAGTGGTCTACTGGAATGTTTTCCAAATCCCTGTAGTCTTCCTCTTCTTTCCTTCACACAGCCACTAAAATGTTATTTCTAAAATGCAAATGTGACTGACTCCTTTCTCTTAGAAACCCTTTTGCAATTCTCCATCTCCCAAAGGGTAAAGGCCAAAACCTTTGCCTTTCAGAGCCTTCGTCATTTAGCCTCACCCGTTTCTCCTTCCCACCAACACATATCCAGTGTTCAAATCACAAATATATCACTGTGTCTCTGCACACAGTGTTTCCTCTGCCTGGAATACTCTTTCTCCTTTCCCTTCACAAAGGATGTTAGCACAAATTCATCTCTTTGGTAAAGCATTCCACCCAGGTACACACTGTTAGTCACTCCTTCCTCAACATCCCCATAGCACTTAATAAATTTTTCCATACTTATTTAAAATGAGTCTCTCTTAGACAAAATTGTAGTTCTTGATGGCTGGGATTGTGTCTTATCACCGGTGAATCCCTATGCCTGGCAGAGCCTGGCACAGAGTAGGCATTAGTAAATGCTTGTTGAAGGAGTAAAGGAAGTGAGCGCCCAACTGAGATAACTAATATGAAAGTGCATAGTTTAGGCTAAAGTGCTATAGAGCCATGAGGGAAGAAAGTTGTTACTCATTTTTAGAGTCAGCAAACCCCAAACACAGAAGGGGAGAAAGGTGTGGGGAAGTAGGCTGACCTTAAAAAGGAGTCCCAGAGCTGGGAACAAACAGGATAAGAAGAAAATTCCCCACTCTACACATCCCCAGAGTTGATCAAGCAGCAGCTGGCAGGCAGAAACTAAGGTCAAAGCAGCAGAAAGGGAAGGGAAAAAAAAGAAGAGAGACAGCTGATACCCCAAGCTCTCTGAATGCCCAGGCATCACAGCGGTGCTGTCAGAAGGGGGTGTGTCAGGGTATGGCTCCGTCTGGAGGAAATAGGAAGTGCTGTGGTGGTAATAAACAGGGTGGACATGGACGGTGGTGATGGTGGTGGTGGTGGTGGTGGTAGTGGTGATGGTGGTGGTAGAAGAGGAGCAAGAAGAAGCAGCAGAGGCAGATGGAGAGCTGGTCCCGTAGCCTTCAGAACTGAAAGACTGTCCAGATGAAAGGCTGCGCATTCGCCGCAGAGACACCCGGCTTGTCAAGAAGTGGCCAGCCTCGCCCTCTACCAACCTCTGAGATCCCAGGCCATGCTGTGGCTCCGTCAGGCGCTGCCGAACACTGCTCTGCAGGCTGGGGGCTGCAAGGAGAATGAAGAAAGTGTGAGGAGGGGCCAGCCCATTTTGGGCTGGCAGGTAAGGAGGTGGCCATGAATAAATGCTTGCTGGAGACCACTCTGGGCCTCTAATGCCAATTTGGAGAATGGGGCACTTCCTCCCAGAAACCTCCCACCAGGGGTCCTAAAAGGATGGGAAATTGAAGATGAGGTGCTGGGTCAGTTTTAGTGGCAATCTCAATAGTAGGAGACCTATGGCAAATGTCACTATAAAGGGAGGCGGCAAGGCAATTAGTGGGTAGACACAGGCAAGGAAGGGTAGGATAAGGGATTGGGACAAAGTCCAGGAGAGCATTAAGAACCAGCCTTTTCAGAAAGCCAACCTCAGGAAATAATTCACAACTTAGACAAGGACTTATACATAAACATGTTCATCGTTGTTAATAATTGAATGAGAAACATATATTATTGTTTACTTTTTATTAATAACTGTATGAAAGTAAACATAAAGAATGAACAATAGGAAAATAATTAATATATCCAGTTTCTGGGAGACTAGAAAGCTATTTAAAATGATGCTTATAAAAAGACTTTAAGAAAATGGAAAAATGCCTATTAAAATGTTCAGAGGGGAAAAGGATTCAGAATTATATTTACTCATTCCTTAAGCTTTGGAATATAAAACACTAAAGTTTGAAATCAGGACTTCATTTCTGGTTATAACCCTGAGCAACTGACTTCCCCATTTTAATTCCTAATTTATAAAATCCTGCAGGGTTCTTGTGAGCCTTCACAATAATGTCTTTAAGTCACCTGAAACAGGTCATTGCACTCAATAAATGGTAGTGGCTATCATTATCTTAACAATATAAAAAATTTCACAGACAAAAGAGTGGTGGAGAAGGTGTTCAAATATGATGGGACTATGGATGTTTTTATGCTAATATTCACTCTTTTTCACTTTCCAATAAGCATATAAACAACAAAGAACCAGCTCTTGGATCAGGCTGAAAATCGAGGTCCTGGAGATGATGGCCACCATGCCCAGTGAAGAGATACATGGGCACCAAGTAACTTAGGAAAATGCTAGTGGCACCAAGTAACTTAGGAAAATGCTAGTGCATCCCCCTTGGGCTCACTCCCAGCTCCAAGTGAAAGGAGAGTGCAGATCTTTATTCCTTCTCCCCTACGCTGATAGATAGGCATTCCTGCTTTCTCCCTAAAGAAGAGAGAAAGAGCCAGGTTATAAGGGTAAAAGAAGCCTTGGAAGGGCCACCAGGGAGAGAGCATAGGTCCACAGTGATTGAGATTTCAGAAGGTAAGTCTTCTATCCTGGTAGCTTTCAAGGTATGAAAGAGAGAATGAAGAGGATGAGGAAGTCTGGAATAGGGAGGGGAAGAGGGAAAAAGATGGGAGAAACTAGGAAGAAAAGGGAGAAACAAGAAAAAGAGAAAAGAAAGCAGTGATCTTTTCTTTCCCTCTTTCCCTCCCAGCCCAGATGGAAGAAGGGCCACCACATTATCTGCATAGCTGGGCTAAAGAGAGAAGCCTGAGCCTTCTATCATCATAAGTAATCTCTATCCAGCTCTTGCCGAGCAGGCTGATTCTTCTTACCCCCGAACCCCTCCTGTAGTTAGTAGGGACAGTGCTGAGGGAATAGAGGGAGCAAGCAGGGGCATGAAGCAGGCAGGAGAAGGGACCCATGGGGTAGGAGTGTTGGTTTAGTCCCAAAAGTCAGAAAAACAAATGCCCCAAAGGGGCTCCTCAAACCGGGGTATTTCCAGAGGGACTGATCATCCGAGCCGGCGGATGTAGAGCAGAGAGAGCGGTCACTGAACCTACGCCCCATCAGCCAGGCAGCATCTAGGGTCAACAGCCAGGCCAAAAGGAGAAGAGAATCTGATTTATGGAGGGCTTTGGCCTGCTCATCAATGTTATAAGGGAAGGGCTGGGGGCAGGGACTGAGTAGCTCAGAGCTAATTAAGGTCCCTCCCAGCCTGGAGAACACAGAAGCCTTTAGATCAATAAGTCAGGATCAAGCTCTGCCTGTCAGTGATCCTGTCCTTGTTACACCTTTAATTAAAGGCCTAGCAAGTTATCATATCAGGAGAGCAAAGAGGCTTGGCCAGGGGCAAAGTATTATGGACAAAATTACAAATAAATTCTGTCTGGAGTAGGAATCTAGCCTGATAAAAGAATCTGAAAGTAGGGCCAGGTACAGTGGCTTAAGCCCGTAATCCCAGCAATTTGGGAGGCCGAGGTGGGTGGATCACTAGGTCAAGAGATCGAGACCATCCTGGTCAACATGGTGAAACCCCATCTCTACTAAAAATACAAAAAAAATTAGCTGGGCATGGTGGTGCGTGCCTGTAATCCCAGCTACTCAGGATGCTGAGGCAGGAGAATTGCCTGAACCCAGGAGGTGGAGGTTGCAGTGAGCTGAGATCACGCCATTGCACTCCAGCCTGGGTAACAAGAGTAAAACTCCGTCTCAAAAAAAAAAGAATCTGAAAGTAAGCCCCTAAACCCAGCCCTAGCCTTCTGCCCTTCGCCTGTACTGGCAGAATATGGGCCTAGGACAATAGCTTTACCAGAAGGGCTAGTCTATTAACTTAAAATAGTTTCTCATCCAAAGGAAAATTGAACTGTGGGCCAGTAAGGGAAAACTCCCTTCATTCACTGAATAATTCCAGTATTGTTCCTTTTGGCTCTGCTCTACTCAACTCTCATCACTTGCAGGAGAGGAAAGGGAGAGGGAAGACCCAGGACAGAGGAAGAGGGAAGAGGGGGTGGGGTCCAAGAGTTCAGGTGAAAAGCCAGACATGCTTGTGCAGGAGATCCCTCCTGGGCAAGAATGCCTTTCCAGCTTGGAGGATTTAGGGCTGTGTCACTTTAAGGGACTATTGCTTTATAGGGCCTCTCACAAAAAGCCAAAGAGAAACACAATTCCATTCATCTACTTCAGCAATTAAGAAAAAGAAACAAAAATCAAAATAAATAAGTTCAATAAATAGTCAAAATGTATGCCATTTTTACATTGAAATTCACTAAAGGAGATTATTTTTTATAAAGGTAGAATGGCAGTTAGGGAGAATAAAGAGAAAAAGAGTGAAGGAGAGACACTTAGCACAATAGACCCAAAGGGGCATACAAAGCATATAAGGAAAGAACATCAAAAGGACAACTATAAAGAAATATCCTAAGCAAATTGTGCTTTACTGACCAAGGTCATGAGTTTACTATTTTCCGGGGCATCTGCCCCATCTGCTGTTTAAGCACAACAGAGACCACAGACTTCTCAACCCATGCATCAAAGGTTCCTTCTTTCATCCCCCCAAAAAGAGGTCACCTACACTGCATGGACAAGGGAGACACAATCTCCTCATCCATGTCATCCACGTCGTCAGTCATGATGAAGTGGGCAGGGTTGGGGCGTGTACTGCCCATCCAGCTGGGGTCTATGTTGAGGGCAGCCACCAGTGAGTGGATGCCCGGGTTATTGACAATCTGGAAGCCACAGAGGATCTCGATCTGTTGCCAGCGGTGCAGGCGCTCCCGCAATGCTGCTGTCACCTCACTCAGTGCTTGCCTGAAGACAGAGGAAAGAGAACTGCAGTCATGGACTTGGTGTGAGCCCCAACAGGAATAAAGCCTCTTCTCAGAGGAACAAGTTGGGAGGATATGTGTGAATAAAAAACACAATAAACTCATAAGCTTAAGAGCAAGGAAGGAAATAGATCAAGGCTGAGGCAGGAGACCAGAGCTGTCTCTCCACCACTGAGGAAATAGAATCGGTGTTGGAGGTCCTGTACACCCTCAAATTCTGAGGATGATACGGACATTGCCAGAGTAGATAACTGGTGTTACTTACTTAGCTGTTAGAATTTTATGATCTACATCATCCAGGGAAGAGCTGTGGGCCACGTGGAAGGTGCCAAAGAGTGTGTTTCTCTTCTTTTTTATCTTCTCAGCCTGCAAAGATGAGGCCCCCAGCTCAAAAAGAGCAGGGATTCAAGGTTGGAAAAAATGAGAAAGGCCTTCCTCTATGGTTGGGGCCCACTCCTCCTAGCACAACTTAGGCTGCACAAGGAAAAAGAAGAGAAGGAGGAAAAGGAGAAAGGCAGGCAAAAGAAGAAGAGAAAGGAAAGGGACAAAATAGAGAAAGCAAGGGAAGAAGCAAAGGGGTCCCTGATAGCCCTTTTGCCCCAGGAGGACCTCTCTCTCCATGGCAGCATGGGGCTGGCAGAGCTTTCCCTCTGCCTGCCTCCACTTGCTTCATCTTGCCCAGAAGACAGGTGGGAATGCCCCTGCACCCTCATTCCCTCCTCCAGAAGCCTGAGGACATTGTCAGGAACTGAACGTTAAGAACATAAACCGAACCCACCACCCAATGGGAGGAACTGAGAGAGGGAGAGAAGATGAAGATATGCAGGGAAAAGGGCAAAAAGGAGAGAAGAGGGCAATAGAAGGGCAGTTCTCACCCCCTCCTTGGCCACCAGCAGCTGCTTCTCAGCATTTTGCTTCTTGATGTTGTAATATTGCACCTCCACCTCATGGGTCAGCTGCAGCCACTTCTGAAGGGCCTCTGGAGCATACCAGGAGCTGTGTGATTCTAGCTCCTTCTCTGCTTTCCTCAAGGCCTCCCGAACCTGTGCAGCCAAAAGGATGTGAGTTCATTCACTGATACTAAGACTCTCCAACACCTCTGTTTGATGCTTCAGGACTCAGACTTTTTATCCTGCTTTACAACTTTCCCAGGAAGGAGAAAGGGTAAGGATTATTTTCCATATTTCATATAGAAGAAAGCAAGCACAGCGAAGAAAATTAACCCATTCAAAGTCAACAGTGTCAACCAGAACTCAAATTGAGATCTTTTTGTTCCAGATGAAGGCATTCTTTTCTATCACATCAGCTTACTTTCCCAGTCATGCAGCACATTCCAGCAATCTTCCCTGATCTCTTCAGGAACAAGTCAACTAGTGAATCATCTTCTTACCAAGAGACAGGGTCTGTGCTTAGACTTCAAGACATCAAAGTGTGACAGAAAAAGCACTGGTCAGGAATCTGAAAATCTGGTTCTGGTTCTTGGTCTGTCACTTAACTGGCTGTGTGACCCTGAGCTTCCTACATCAGCTCCTAATTCAGTGTGAGGAAAGATTTTCTCCCATGCAAATCGAAACCATCAGGGAGAGGGTGTTCTCAGGAGAGAGTGAGTTCCCTGTCATGGGTGGTATGTGAACAGCTTATGTCAGAGAGACCTGAACAATGATTGGTACTTCAGAAGGGCATTGTCCTGAATGCTCTCCAAAGTCTCCTCTAGCCCAGAGACTGTGTCTATGATTCTCTCAAGGAGTAGAGCAAGTGGGCTTTGAAAAGAACTCTACAAGGTGGCAAGACAATGAGCATATCCACACCTAATATGGACATTGCCAACAGAAGCCAAGACATGAGAGGACCAAGGTATAAGTAGAAATAACTGACTTCTCTGCAAGAAGCACACAATGAGGCAGTCACAAAGCACAAAAAAGTATAAAAGACTTGAAAGTACATACAGACATTACATACACAGAATTTCTTGCTGTCTCATCCAGGCTACCAGCATAAGTGATCTCCAACTTTCCTACCTGACCTTTAGCTGGTCAGAATCCTAGAGAAGAGGCATTGAAAGCAGTCTCATTGTCCCCAGCTTCAGCCAATGAGGCAACCATCCCATAGCAAGCCTGAGGTCCTCTCCACAGCCTAAGATAGGCCAGGAGGGCCTCCGCTAAGAACAGAATACCTTTATTCCTTTGAGAGGCAATGAGAGTGCCAATTTTCACTTGGCTTCTGTTCCCTGAATAGAATTAGTTGGGCATGCACCACCATGCCCAGCTATTTTTTTTTTCTTTTTTTGACAGAGATGGGGTTTTCCCATGTTGCCCAGGCTGGTTTCAAACTCCTGGGTTCAAGTGATCTGCCCACCCTTTGCCTCCCAAAATGCAAGTATTACAGGAGTGAGCTACCATGCCCAGCTAGGAACTTTAAAAAATGCAGATATCTGGGCCCTAACCCAGAGATACTGATTTCATTGATCTGGAGTGTTAGCCTGGGCATTAAAATAGGCTCTCCAGGTCATTCTAATATGCAGCCAAAGTTAATAAACACACACACGTAAATAAAGTGGTGTGTGTGTTTCAAATAAAGTGTTATCACCTGACTTCCACTTGCCAGTAGAATAAAGTACGTCATGGGAGAAAAACAATTCTGATTCAACACAAAATCTGGAAAAAGCTGTATAAATTATAAAAATTGTGTTTTCAAAATTGTTTTTACTTTGAAAAGTTTAGTCATTTTTCAAAAAATGTTATTTGTGTTAATATATAAGGGGGTTGATATAGTTATTTTTATTTATTTATTTATTTTTTGAAATGGAGTCTTGCTCTGCCACCCAGGCTGGAGTGCAGTGGTGCAATCTTGGCTCACTGCAACCTTTGCCTCCTGGGTTCAAGCTATTCTCCTGCCTCAGCCTCCTGAGTAGGTAGGATTACAGGTGCTCGCCACCATGCCCAGCTAATTCTTATATTTTTAGTGGAGACAGGGTTTTGCCATGTTGGCAAGTCTGGTCTCAAACTCCTGACCTCAGGTGATCTGCCCACTTCAGCCTCCCAAAGCCCTGGGATTACAGGCATGAGCAACCATGCCCGGCCTGATATAGTTATTTTAAATGAATTAAATATTTTTTAATTTTCTCAGTTGTAATTTCTAATCGGTTAAATATCAACAGTATTACTCCCTATAAAAATGTACTTTGAAGTCCTAAATAGATTTTTTGTTTGTTTGAGACAAAGTCTTGCTCTGTCACCCAGGCTGGGGTGTAGTGGCCTGATCTCGACTCACTACAACCTCCGCCTCCCAGGTTCAAGCAATTATCCTGCCTCAGCCTCCCGACTAGCTGAGACTACAGGCGCCTGCCACCACGTCCTGCTAATTTTTGTATTTTTAGTAGAGAGGAGGTTTCATCATGTTGGTCAGGCTGATCTTGAACTCCTGACCTCAGGTGATCTGCCTGCCTCGGCCTCTCAAAGTGCTGGGATTACAAGCGTGAACCACTGTACTCGGCCAGGATGTTTTACTCTTAATAACTAGGGGCTGGGCGCAGTGGCTCACGCCTGTAATCCCAGCACTTTGGGAGGTCAAGGCGAGCAGATCACAAAGTCAAGAGATCGAGACCATCCTGGCCAACATGATGAAACCCCGTCTCTACTAAAAAATACAAAAATTAGCTGGGCTTGGAGGTGTGTGCCTGTAGTCCCAGCTACTCAGGAGGCTGAGGCAGGAGAATTGCTTGAACCCAGGAGGTGGAGGCTGCAGTGAGCCAGGATCGCACCACTGTACTCCAGCCTGGCGCCTGGTGACAGAGCAAGACTCTGTCTCCAAATAAAAACCAAACCAAAACAAAAAAAAACTATTTAGGGGCTGGGCGGAAACTCCTTTAAAAAAAAAAAAAAAAAAAACCATCAAGAGTTCTAAGAATAAAACGTTTGAGAACAACTAGACTAGATAAACTAAAATTCAGAGAGAAAAAAGACTTTCTAAGATGTGTTGTCATTTTCTTCCCTGGAGACACTGATGATTTAAGGTAAGAGCCGAAAATTGAGCTTGACCCATGTAGAAGATCTCTACTGGGACACAAAGAAAACAGCCTACTATGTGGCAGAACTGAATCTCTCACACTCTTTCAGGGCTGAGGAGAAAGAAATCTACCAGCTTTCAATTTAAAAGTCAGGGAGGGACATACCTGAGCTCAAGTGTTTGGGACAAATGAAAGACACACCAAATTTTACTAAAACTACAACCTAGTTCAAACGTAGCTCAATCTCTGATTGGCTTGAGGTGATCAGTTCCTTACCCTATATACCTCACAAAAGAAAGGGGGAAACCCACCTGATGGAAGAGAAAATCATCTGGAGCCACTATTGCTTTTTATATACACTGTCCGGCATATAATAAAAATAAATTACTAGACATAAATGGCAAAAAATATGACTAATAATCAAGAGTAATTATAAGCAGTCCCATAAATAATCCAGATGTAAGAATTACCAGACAAGGACTTTAAAATAATTATGATTGATATGTTAAGGAAAATACAGGAAAAGAAGAAAACGATAGATAAAAGAAATTCTGGACAGGGAACTGGAACCTATAAAAGAGTAAAATGGATATTCTAGAATTGAAAAATACATTGTCTGAGAGTAGGAACCCACTGGATGGGTTAAACAGCAGTATGGTTATAGTAGAATGCAGAATTAAAGAACTTAAAAGATAGGTCAATAGAAAATAACCAAATCAAAGCACAAAGAGAAAAAAGGAGAACAGAACTGAGCATAAGAGACATACAGAATACGGTTAAAAGATCTAACATAAATATTAGATTCTCAGAAGGAGAGGACAGAATGGAGCAGAAGTAATGTTTTAAGAGATATATAAGTGCTAAAAAGAAGTATACTCTAGAGTTAGGCAGAGTGTTCTATATGTGTCAAGGAATCCAAATTTATTACTCATGTTTTAAAATGTGTTATATCCTGATGGATGCCCTTGGTGGCTTATTATTGAGAGAAGTATATTAAAATCTCTAACTAATTATAAAATTTGTCTAGTATCATTTTAGTTCAGTCAATATTTGCTTTATATATTTTAGACTACATCATTAGATATATCCACATTAAGAGCTGTTATATTTTAAATTGAATTCATCCACTAATCATTATGCAATATCTATTTTGAGGTCTAGTAATACTTCTTGACCTAAAGTCTACTTTATATTAATATAAATATTATATTTATATTAATATATAGCTACCCTTGCTTTATTTCACTTAGCAATTGCTTTAGGTCAATACTTCATGACCTAAAGCCTACTTTATATTACTATATTCTATTTATGTAAATATATAGCTAGCCAGCCTGCTTTATTTTGTAACATATATCTCTTCTCATCCTTTTCCTTTAACCTTTTTTTGTGTTCTTATATTTAAAGTGTGTCACTTATAAACAGCATATAATTGAGTTTGGACATTAATCCAATCTGATAATCTTTACCTTTTAACTGAATTGCTTAGTTTTTTTTTTATACAAACCAAGTCTCAACAAGTTTCAAAGGACTCACCCACACAGCATATGTTCTCTGACCATAGCAAAATTAAACTAAAAATCAGTAAAAGAAAGATAAGTAAAAAATTGCTCAAGTGTTTGAAAATCAAGCACTATACTAGATAACTAAGTGCCAAAAAGGGAACCACAATAAAAATTATAAAACCTTTTTACCTGAATGATAATAAAAATATGAAATAGAGATTCTTGAATGATCACCTTACTTGGGGGGAAAAAAAGATCCTTGACAGCCTACCTCATATCACATACAAAAGTTAATTTGAAGTAATATCCCTAAATGTGAAAAGACAAATAATAAAGGTTCAGAAGAAAATTCAGGGAAATATCTTGGGGGTAGGAAAGGATTTCTTAAACAGAAACAAAAAGCATCTTTTTTTTTTTTTTTTTTTTTGAGATGGAGTCTTGTTCTATTCCCCAGGGTGGAATGCAGTAGCCCTACCTTGGCTCACTGCAACTTCTGCCTCCCCCACTCAAGTGACCCTCCTTCCTCAGCCTCCCAGAGAGCTGGTACTACAGGTGTGTGCCGCCACACCCAGCTAATTTTTGTATTTTTAGTAGAGATGGGGTTTTGCCATGTTGACCCAGGCTGGTTTCTAACTTCTGACCTCAAGCAATCTGCCGGCCTCAGCTTCCCAAAGTGCTGTGATTACAGGCATGAGCCACCATGTCCAGCCGCATCAGTCATTTTTAAAGACTGATTAAATCGGCCTTTAAATCATTTTAAAGACTGATTAAATTAGACTTCATTGTCTGTTTCTCAAAAGACAATATTAAGAGAGCAAAAAAACAAGTCAAGGCTGAGAAAATATTTTCTATATATCTGTATATTTATATTGACAAAAGACTAATATTTAAAATATATAAAGAATGCTTACAAATCAATAAGAAAAGGACAACCCAATTTTTAAAATGAGAATAGATTTCCAAATCAAATGGCCAATAAATTTATAAAAAGGTGTTTAACAATATTAGGGAAACGAAAATTAAAATCACAAGGTACTACTATATATTTGCCAGGATGTTTAAAGTTAAAATGCCTAAAAATACTGAGGTCATGGATCAACTAGAATTCTCTTACACTGTTGTGGCAGTATAGATTTGTATAATCATTTTGGAAAACCATTTGACAGTTTCTAATAAAGCTAAATTCACGAATATGCTATTATAAGTCCAACAGAAATGAGTGCTTATGCCCACCAAGAGACATATGCAGGAAGGTTCATAGCAATATTATTCATAAAAGTCAAAAAACTGCAGATGACCCAAATGTTTATCAACAGAAGAGTGGATAAATAAATTATAGTATTTTTATACATTTTTGTAATTCTTTTTTTTTTTTTGATACACAGATTCACTCTTGTCCCCCAGGCTGGAGTGCAATGGCACTATCTCAATCACTGTAACCTCCACCTCCTGGGTTCAAGTGATTCTCCTGCCTCAGCCTCCCAAGTAGCTGGGATTAGAGGTGCCCACTGCCACACTCAGCTAATTTTTTTTTGTATTTTTAGTAGCGACAAGGTTTCACCATGTTGGCCAGGCTTATCTCAAACTCCTGACCTCAGGTGATCCACCCACCTGGGCCTCTCAAGTGCTGGGATTACAGGCATGAGCCACTGTGTCCAGCCCATAGTGATTCTTTTTTTTTTTTTTTTTTTTTTTTTTCTGAGATGGAGTCTTGCCCTGTCACCAAGGCTGGAGTGCAGTGACGTGATCTTGGCTCACTGCAACCTCTGCCTCCTGGGTTCAAGTGATTCTCCTGCCTCAGTCTCCCGAGTAGCTGGGACTACAGGCACCTGCCACTACACCCAGCTAATTTTTGTAATTTTAGCAGAGATAGGGTTTCACCATATTGGCCAGCCTGGTCTTAAACTCTTGATCTTGTGATCTGTCCACCTCAGCCTCCCAAAGTGCTGGGATTACAGGCATAAGCCACTGTGCCCAGCCCATGGTGACTGTTTTTTACAAGTTTTCTACTATTCTTATTGGTAAGAGTCTAGTGACTCTAGAACATAATCTTTGGACCATATTTCAAAGTCCTCACACATGAAACTTTCCAGCCAGACCCTGGGCCCCTGCCCTTTGCCCACCCCTCAAGATGTCCAGTAATTTGTGGACTCTCCTACCTGCTCCAACTCCTCCTCAGCATATTTTTGGCGGCTCCGCTCATTCTCAGTACCCTCCCGTAACTCCTTCAGCCGCTGGGCTTCCTGCTTAGCAAGGTTGATCTCATCGCGCAGCTTCTTCTCCAGATGGACCTTCTCCACCTCCACTGTGCGGTGCTCCTCCTGGGCCTTGTGCAGCCTGGGGGGTGATGTAGGGAGCTGAAGGAGGCCAGGCAAGCAGATGCCAGCCAACATGCTATGAGTCATGGTATCAAAGAGGAAAATGAGAGCTCTAACTCCCAGTATATACTCTCCCTGCCCTGCTGACTGTCTGGCTCTGAGCTAGCTCAGGGCCAATAGAAACCACAGTCATTACCTAATTCAGACATTGGCCATCATCTTATTTTGTTGACAGTAATCAAGGCTGTGAAACCACATTCTCAGGCATCTGAATCCCTCCTCTAAATTGTTTCATACTAAAATCATAACAAGTACCAGTTTACAAGGTATTTCCCATTTGTCCTCTCAGCAGATAATGATATATTAGTAACATAATCAGCCTGGGACAAGCATACAGGGAGGCTTAGAGAGGGAAAGCAACTTATGGGAAGAACTGAGGCTAGAATTCCAATCTGTGTGACTTTGGCACAATTATTCCCCTAATATAGTGCTATCTAGAAAGTTCAATAAATGTAGAATACCCTATGAGCTAGACAAAAAGATCCAAGGAAAACCTAATGGCTGAGAAATAACTGGGGCTAGTAGCAGAGGGGTGGATTAAGGAAGATGAGGAAGGAACTATTGAGCTAGACCTTTTGGACTCCTAAGCTTTTGTTCCCAGAAACACAAAACAAATTGAATTTATGCCAAAGTGGCTGGGTAGGGCTCAGGAGAGTCCCCTGCTGCCTCCAGGCCCTGAGTTCCTTTCCTAATAATCTTCCTTAGTGGGTAAGATCATAAGGGCATGAGTTCTAATCTAAACCTACCCTTGCACCACCACGAACATTCCCTCAGTTCACTGACAAAACCTTCCATCCAGCTAAATAAGCCTTCTCCCTTCCTCAATTCTTTCCTCCACATGGCTATCTATGTTAATCCACTCATTCATTCACCAAGTTCTTTTGAGGGCCTACTAAGTGCCAAGCCCTGTGCTAAGCCCTAAATATATGGCGATAAATCAGAAAGCTGTCCCTGCCACTGAAGAGCTCATTATTTACTCCAACAAAGACAAGTAAACAGATAACTGTACACAATGTGACAAATTCTATAATAAAAAGAGATATATATAATATATGATACGTATCATATATATATATATAAAATATATGCAGCAAGGGAAGAAGATAGGGGCAAAAAAAATACAAAAATATATGATATATATATATATAAGGTGTTGGGTACCCAAAAGATCGGGTAATCAGCTCTGCCTGCAAGCAGTCAGGGAAAGAGAGACTTGGGCTAGACCCAGAACAAAGACTGAGAGTTTGCTAATCCCTTTGGAAGAGAGAAAGAACTTTACTATCTGGTTTTCTAAGCAAAAACCACCAGGTTGCCAGGGGGCCAGATTAGGAGGGTGAAAGGATGGTGAAGAAGAGGTGAGTCATATCGCTTAGATTTGAGATACAGAAAAGAAAGGATAGACTACAGAACAAGAAGGACCCACAGAGAACACTGACCACTGAGTTAATTAAGTAGGTGAAACAGATAAAACAAACAGAACTCAATTTGTAAAAAAAACTCTCCAGAGCTATTAGTAGCAGAGACCTCAAAAGATATCATGGAACAAGCAAGGAGGTAAGAGAAGGAAATGTTAGGCTGCAAACTTCCCACAAATTGTAATCTGTCTTCTTTGTCCCTGAAGAGAAAGGGAGTTGAAATCCCTGAAAGTGAACACCAGATGGCACTATATGCATAGATAAAGACAAATCAGAGGCGCCATTTCCTGCCCCTATCTTCTTCCCTTGCTGCATATCCTCCTTTACTGTACGCTTCCATGACTCAACTGCATAAAGTTACACCATTAAGAATTCACTTCTTCACTGAAATATTGTCCTCTCTGAAGGCAGCCTCTTGAGAAAAGCCAATACTATAATATGGCTGTCCTTTATAATAGCAAGCTCCTTTAAAGTAGAATCGAGATTGACCCCCCTTTCATAGTCCCGATAAGGTCTGTTAGAGATGGAGATCAATAATTATTGTTGGGTGCAGAAATGAGAAAATAAGTATACAATTAAACACTGTTGTTGCCACTCCAAGGCAACAACAATTAGCACTTCAATTAGTCCTGGACCTAAGCAGTTGTGTGACTATGAACAAGTTTTGCCTGTTTTCTTCACAGCAAAATGGGAATCAAGATTCCTGCGTGCCTCAAATAATTATCTTGAAACTCAATGAAATCATAACTAGAATGTACATGTAGAATTATATTTATTCACACAAATTATCAGGAACTCTGTAATAAAGCTCTGTGACAGCTGGCAATGCAGGTCTGTTAATATAAGGAGGAAAAAGCTGGTGTGTGGGCTCTGGACACTCAATGGAGGATACATGTGTGCATGTGCCCAAGCCTGTCTCTAGGGGGACAAGGGGAAGGGTGTCTTTGTCTCTTTCTAAGTGTTGCAGTGGTCATTTAGCTCTGGAAGCCTTGGGGAGCATGGAGTGCTAGGAGCTTAGTTTTATCCCCAAACTTGGAATGTCTCCTGCCTAGATTCTTTTGCCTTTGGAATGGAAACAGTACATGTTTTTCAAACAAATGAGGTATGGGAACTGCTCAGACAGCAGCAGTTAGCCCCTAATTGGCAATGGGCCCAAGAACAAGGGGCCCAGCAGAGTAGCCAGGAATCAGCTTCGAGATTAGACCCCCCTTGCTCCCTAGAAGCCCAACCCATGGAAATAAGGCTACTACCTTAGTAAAGGTAGCACCCTGGAGTGTCAAAATTCCTAATTCACTACTTACTGATATGTGAGCCTGAGCAAAGCACTTACCCTCTCTGAGCCTTCATTTCCTCAACTCTAATAGTACCTACTTCAAAGAGCTGTAGTGATTAAAAGCAATAATGCTTTTAAGTATTTAATACCTGACTCACAAGAAGTCTTTTCCCACCCCTCCAAAGAAAATAGTGTCTATCATTTAAAAATAACACAATGACTGGGCACAGTGGCTCAGGCCTGTATTCCCAGCACTTTGGGAGGCTGAGGTAGACCTCTTGAATCAGAAGTTCAGGAAAAACCTGGGCAACACAGCAAGACCCATATCTACAAAAAAATTTTTAAAAATTAGCCGGGCATGGTGACATGCACCTGTGGTTCCATCTATAAAGGAGGTTAAAGTAGGAGGATCTCTTGACCCCAGGAGGCTGAGGCTACAGTGAGCTATATTCATGATATTGAACTTCAGCCTGGGCAACAGAGCAAGATCTTGAATCAAAAAAATAATAATAAATAGAAATAAATGCAAAGACAAGACTTCATTTCCTTTTACATGGATTCCTGCAAAGACTTCCCAACTAGAGTCCCTATGCTTCCAGAATTTTTCTAAAAGACAATCCTGAATAAGTCTCTCCTCTTCTTGAAAACAAACACCAAAAAAACCTGATTTGCTTTCTGCATCAAACTAACTTCCTCACATGCATCTTAAGGTCCCAGGGATCTGGCCCCACCCTTTACAGTCAATCTTAACACCCAGGACCTCCCCACCCATCTTTCAAGGCCACCTCCTCAGAGTCCCACATCCACTCATCCACCTCTTTGTCTTTCTAGTCATTAGAGTTCTTATCCTATTAGCTGAGTCTGGAACTGAGTCTGTATTAAGTGTGCTCTCACAGCTGCTTCTTGTGGGTATGTAAATTTTGTTTCCTCATGAACAGTGAATTTCTTCCCCCCACCCTTTTTTTTTTTTGAGATGGAGTCTTACTCTGTCACCAGGCTGGAGTGCAGTGGTGTGATCTCGGCTCACTGCAACATCCGCCTCCCGGGTTCAAGCTATTCCCCTGCCTCAGCCTCCCAAGTAGCTGGGACTACAGGTGCACACCACCACGCCCAGCTAATTTTTGTATTTTTAGTAGAGATGGGTTTTCACCATGTTGGCCAGGAGGGTCTCGATCTTTTGACCTCGTGATCCGCCCGCCTCGGGCTCACAAAGTGCTGGGATTACAGGTGTGTGCCACTGCACCCGGCCCAGGAACAGTGAATTTCTTACAACTGCCATCATAAAACTGGTTCCTAGATGTCAGGAAGCACACTGACTGACTGACTGACTGACTGACTGGCACTCTTTTCACAGCCAAATCTTCCGCCATAGTTTTGAAGTCATATTTTATTTCAACGGAATCCCAGACCATCTGAGTTAGAAGTGTTCTCCAAGGAGAGTTTAGCATTCTCCTAGGTCAATCCCTTCATATTACCAATGAGGACATAAGTCCTGGGAGGGAAAGAGATTTAACCAAAGTCATACAGCAAGTCAGTGTTGATCAGATTTAGATTCCATGTAAGAAAGAACTAAGGACAGTAAGAAGGAAGGTCTGTGAAGTTTCTTTGGGGAACAGTAAAGAACAATTAATTATATCTATTTATATGCTAAGAGAAGCAGTCCAGAGACAGGATGAAGTTAGAATGACCTCCTAACAAATGATGGGAAGCTCAAGACCTCTGGCAGCTACACATTCCTCCCTCTGAAGCTAAGAAGCAAAAAAGATAGAAACAAGCTTCTTCCCAGGAGGAATAACTGCCCAGGATAATTGGAATATCACCCTAGAGTTGCAATACACTTTTGGAAGGATGACACAGCCTGGGCTGCCATGTTGGCAAGGTCTCAGGGTCCGAGTGGCTAATACCCAGGTGGAAATGGGAGGTTCCCAAGAGATGGCAGGGCCTTACCTTTCCTGGAGGGGCAGGGCCTTACCTTTCCTGAAGGTCATGCAGACTCTGCTCAGCTCGGTGTAACCCCTCCAAGTCTTTCATCATCTTCTTCATGTGCTCCTTGGAGTAGCGGTTCTGGATATAGGCAAACCAGCAGCCGCCCACACCAATAACGATAGACACCACCAGCATAAAGTCCTTGAGGTGATTATGGCGGGTCACTGCCAGAGAGGGGAGGACATGGTGAGTCAGGGTGCCCACTGCACACTTAGCCTTGCAAACTCCACTGCATCCCTCCTCTATGAAGCCCTCCATGACAGACACACTTTCCCACTGAGGAGGATTTAGTTTCTCTTCTTAGACACATACTTGCCATACACTATTATAGTAAGCTCTGTGTCTGTCTCTCTGCTAGCCAAGGCTTTGTTTAGAAATGAGAAGCCTTATAGCAATACGAAATGCTTATTAAATCACACTTCCATAAGATGCAGTGAAGACGAGAGAACCAGTGCCTTCTCAATATACCTCAGCCATCTCTCGGCTAGGATGAGCCCATATGCCCAGATGTAGTGTCTTCCGTCCTACAGGGTAGGCAATTCTTAAGTGCTACAGCAGGTAAATGGAGATGGCTGGTATAAAGGATATAAAGCAACGTCACCAGAGCCTCAGGTCTGGCTATAGGACTGAAATCACTATAGGAACTAGGTCTCCTGGACTACCAGGCCATTCTTGGCACAGATCAGGGAAAGGTCCAGAAGTCTCAACCAATGGAGAACATTTCTAGGCTATTGTAAAATCCAGAGACTAGGTAGAACAGGATAGCATCAAGAGATTGGTATGATGAGACATTATACCTATCAACAATTGAGGGCCAGTGCTATTTCCAGAGAACACCTGGTAGCAATTCAGTGAAGCACAAGGGCCCCAGCCATCAGTTGGGATTCAAAGAACGCCCAGTGTCCAGAGCAAAACTTAAATGCTAAACAAAAAAAAGACACCAAAAGATAAAAAGCAAAAGCCATATCCTAAAAACTTAGCCAGTCAGGACAGAGGCACTTCTGAAACTAACATTGTTCCTGGTGTACCAGATCTGGGCTCTGTGCCACAGCACAAGAGACTTGAAAGGGGCATTATAAGGAGACGGCTGTCAGGAGACAGAAATTCTCTGTCTAGGTCGTGCTGTGGGCTCAGAGGAGCCCTAGATGTGAGAGTCAGGGAAAGAGGAAAAAAAGAGTTTTTGCCAGGGCTAATGACATAACTGTGTACAGTAAGTTGCCCTTAGACAGCTAAGGAGGAGGTAAGACTGGCATGATCCTTGGACAGAGTAAGGATATGGGGCCGGTGGAAATCCAAAAGGACCCAGGTAGAGCCACCAAGTTAAGGGAGGGTCAAGACACCAGAAAAAGAAACCATATGATACTGATGCCCATATTTGACAAAAAGAGTTAATATTATAGCTCCTTACAGAAAGGCTAAACAGCAGAAAATGAGGATGAGATGGGACCAAAGACAGATTAACACATCCTATTTCCACTCAAGGGAGGGGAGTTACTAGGTCAGAGTGGTGGCCATGTCACTCATATGTTTATTCCAGGCTCTCTGAAAGAAAACTGAGGGTCCTCTAGTGGCTATCCCCTAGCCTCCAGGCAGGCTACAAGTCTAGCCATACTCAAGCCCTCACTCTCCTGTCTTTCAGGTTCCAAGAGGAGATATTTCTGCAGCACAGTGAGTTGCCTTCCTTTCTAGAACATACCTGCCTCCTCCACAACCACTACCAGAGCCTGGGGTACTCTTCGTCTCCCCTATTTGTTAAGGACTTTTAATCTTTGTTTCCTAGGGTTTCTCAACTTCAATATCCCCTTTATATTCTTACCAAAAGTCAACGGTATCCTTGTTCAAACAAGACTCCATGCAACAAGCACCTTCCCCTATTCCAATACTTCAGAGTACTTAAGGTGGGCATGCAAATTGGGCCCAGTAATTTCATTTGGTTTCTTATTCTACCTTATCCAGGTCAATTTGGAATCAGATCTATTATTTTGCCCAGCTTCATATTCTCATCCAAGTCATGAATAAGAATACTGAATAACCAAGGCCAAGGATAAGGTCTAACAGTGAGTCCCTCCCTCTAAGGTAATATTGTTTCTATCACCTATCAGTACCCACTGGATTCCTCCAACCAGTTTTGACTCTACTTAAATATACAAATATCCATCCTATCCAATCCTCTGCCTTGTCAAATGCATAGCTAAAGTCCAGAAATATTACAGGCCACATCCATGAGCTACCAAGCCTGGTAGGAAGAAGATGCGTCTAACATGGTTGATTTACTCTTTAAGGTTCCTAGTGATCATCACTGGACTATATATGCCAGTGCACAGTGTATAACATCAACCAGCATACAGAAGTCATTCAATAAATCTTAGAAGGATTGATTCTTTACTAACAAGCTTCAAGTACAATAATATCTCCCTTCCCTTAATCCATACAAAAAAGGAAGGGAAATAGAGAAAATATAAAACCTATCAGGAATTTATATTCATCATTTCTTATCCTCACAACTACTAGGTAAAATAGGTTATTAGTATTCCCATTCTGTAGACCAAAAAACTGAGATTCTGTAAGGGATACTGACTTGCTAGAGTTCATAAAAAGTGACACAGCTGGGTTTAAATCCAGATTTACCCAACTACATTGTCTTTCTGCTACACCACACTTCCTCATTACAACTTTCATATTCACACAGCAAATATTGTTTCTGTTTTGTTACAAGCAAACATGTCTTACAGTGGAGATGTCTATATGGCCCTGATCTAGCTCAAGCTAGATTCTTGGAACTCTTGACACTAAGAGTTCCAGGACCTGAGTTTTCCCCCACACAATATCCTGTAAACTGATAGTGGCATTGCAGTCAGAGCAGTGAAGACCCAAAGGCCAAATAATCAGGCCTTAAGATTAAACATAAGGTCTGTGTACAGAAATTCTTGTGCTATCAAGGGAAGTATCCCACACTAAGTATTAGGAAGCCTGATTCTATGCTTGCCTCTGTCCCAATTGGTTATGAAATTTGCTTCCCCTATCTAGACCTCAGCTTCCTCAGCTGTAAAATGCAATACCACAGAATTACTAAAGAGACAGAACGGGTGATTACTAACAAGACTGAATGTGTAGGTATAAATGACAGCACTGTGAGGTGTCTTAGAAATATTCAGATGGACATACCAGGAGATAATTAAGAATGTGGATGTGAGCCGGGCATGGTGGCATACAGCTATAATCCCAGCACTTTGGGAGGCTGAGGTGGGGGGAATCACCTGAGGTCAGAAGTTCGAGACCAGTCTGGCCAACATGGTAAAACACTGTCTCTACTAAAAATACAAAAATTAGCTGGGCATTGTGGCAGGCAACTGTAATCACAGCTACTCAGGAGGCTGAGGCAGGAGAATTGCTTGAACCCAGGAGGCGGAGGTTGCAATAGGCCAAGATTGCACAATTGAACTCTAGCCTGTACGACAGAACAAGACTCTGTCTCAAAAAAAAAAAAAAAGAAAGAAAGAAGGAAAGAAAAGACCAAACCTACATTTCACTGGTGTGAAAGTGTCGGGGAGAATGGAACCAAGTTGGAAAACACTCTTTAAAATATTATTCAGGAGAACTTCCCCAACCTAACAAGACAGGCCAACATTCACATTCAGGAAATACAGAGGACACTACAAAGATACTCCTTGAGAAGAGCAACCCCAAGACACATAATCAGCAGATTCACCAAAGTTGAAATGAAGGGAAAAATGTTAAGGGCCAGCCAGAGAGAAAGGTTGGGTTACCCACAAAGGGAAGCCCATCAGACTAACAGCGGATCTCCCAGCAGAAACCTTATAAGCTACAAGAGAGTGGGGGCCAATATTCAGCATTCCTAAAGAAAAGAATTTTGAATCCAGAATTTTATATCCAGCCAAACTAAGCTTTATAAGTGAAGGAGAAATAAAATCCTTTACAGAAAAGCAAATGCTGAGAGATTTTGTCACCACCAGGCCTGCCTTACAAGAGCTCCTGAAAGAAGCACTAAACATGGAAAGGAACAACTGGTACCAGCCACTGCAAAAACATACCAAATTGTAAAGACCATCGACATTATGAAGAAACTGCATCAACTAATGGACAAAATAACCAGCTAGCATCATAATGACAGGATCGAATTTACACTTAACAATAGTAACCTTAAATGTAAATGGGCTAGATACTCCAATTAAAAGACACTGACTGGGAAATTGGATAAATGGTCAAGACCCACTGGTGTACTGTATTCAGAAGACCCATCTCATTTGCAAAGACACACACAGGCTCAAAATAAAGGGATGGAAGAATACATACCAAGCAAATGAAAAGCAAAAAAAAAAAAAAGGCAGAGGTTACAATTCTAGTCTCTGACGAAACAGACTTTAAACCAACAAAGATCAAAAGACAAAGAAGGGGATTACATAATGGTAATGGGATCAATGCAATAAGAAGAGTTCACCATCCTAAATATATATGCACCCAATAGAGAAGCACCCAGATTCATAAAGCAAGTTCTTAGAGACATACAAAGAGACTTAGACTCCCACACAGTAATAGTGGGAGACTTTAACACCACGCTGTCAATATTAGACAGATCAATGAGACATAAAATTAACAAGGATATTTAGGACTTGAACTCAACTCTGGACCAAGCAGACCTAATAGACATCTACAGAGCCCTCCACCCAAATCCACAGAATATACATTCTTCTCAGCACCACATCGCACTTATTCTAAAATTGACCAATAATTGAAAGTAAAACACTTCTCAGCAAATGCAAAATAACAAAAATCATAACAGTCTCTTAGACCACTGTGCAATCAAATTAAAACTCAGGATTAAAAAACTCACTCAAAACTGCATGACTACTGGAAACTGAACAACCTGTTCCTGAATGACTACTGCGTAAATAACAAAATTAAGGCAGAAATACCTAAGCTCTTTGAAACCAATGAGAACAAAGACACCACATTCCAGAACATCTGGGACACAGCTAAAGCAGTGTTTAGAAGGAAAATTATAGCACTAGATACCCACAAAAGAAAACATGAAACACCCTAACATCACAATTAAAAGAACTACAGAAGTAAGAGCAAACAAATTCAAAAGCTAGCAGAAGACAAGAAACAAGATCAGAGCAGAACTGAAGGAGACAGAGACACG